GTTCTCTGAAGCTGTGCGACACCTGGATTATATCAAGACCAAAACTTTGCCCTTCGCCATTGGAGAGATCATGAAGGACTGCAAGTAAACGGATCCAGCACCTATGTATATATATGTATATGTATGTATATATATGTATGTATGCAATTACAAGTTAGGCTTTATATTTTCTACCTTCGATGTTGCGGAAAATAAATATTGTGTACATCTCATAGAAACGTGTCCAAATCAATTCTCAACTCAAGGGTTGGCCACTCGCTATTAATATTAAAAAATAAAAATCATTTCTCGGGCGCTGCGTCTGTCTGTCGCTGGCAATGCCTGGGAGTGGTTGCTGTGGGTGTGCAGGTGGTGCGGGGGGTGTTGCCGTGGCTAGCAGCAACTGTGGCGTTTTAATCAGTGTTGCAAAATGCCTAGCATCAATAAATATATATATATATACATATATATATATCATGTCACAGTAATATATAAAAGCTAAAAGAATTATGCTTGACATAAGTTATAAGTTCTACCATAAGACAGGAATAGTATCATTGTTTAGCTTCTTAGTTTGATTTGAAATATAGATTAACCAAACGGGAATCTTCTAACTGTATTTTTGAGTGAAGCTCTTCTCTGCGATTCTCATTGCCTTGTTACTAATATCGAAGTTTCCTTTAGATGTATCAGGACGTATCATTTTCTATAATATATAATAGTAAATATTTACACATATATAGTTAAGCTTATTAGTTAGGGATAATTCAGTTGGTTACGCTTTAAAGCGATTAAAGCTGCTGTGTCAAATTTAATGAGAGATTTTCAGCTTTTCCTGTATATAAAAGTGGATCGGAAGCTGAGAAAAAGGTTATTCGTAAGAATAAATCAAATAAGATGCAGTTTAAGGGAGCTTCTTCGCTAATCTGGTTGACCATGCCATTCTTAATCTGTTGCATTGAGCCACCTTGTCTTGGGGATTTTAAACCTGCATACCGAAGTACTTCATGAACAATTTTGAATATATCAATAAAATTGGAAAGGAAATATATTTTCCAAAGGAGAAAGAAAAAAGTCGTCTTTAGGGAAAGATATTCAGGAATATATGTATGCAATCTTGATTGATTGCGATACATACATATATGATATTTTTGGCCGAGGCAGTCAGCTAGAAAAGAAGCTAATCTATCGGGAGAAAAGGCCAAAACGCGCATCACTAGGTGTTAATGCATTTTGCAGACACGTGCGCGATACGCTTCTTTGATTTGCGGACGTGGACGAGTCGACTTGGAACTGAACTATGAAGCCAAAGAACAGAGCTAAGGGAGGATGGGAGCTGGGAGCTAGGCGAAGGGGTGTCGAAAAGGTCTAGCTGGGAGTTGCCTGAGCAGCTTAACATATTTGTAAAGACCTTTTTATTAAAAACAAAAAAACGGGCTTAAAGATTATTCGTAGATGGGGAAATCTGAGTGTTTGTCTGGCAATCTTATTTTGCGTCGGTGCGATATTTTAATTACGACTTACTGTACTCATCGCTATGGAAATGCTGTATATGCTTGACTGATGCTTGACTTATGTAAGGAATAGCATAATTATAGGGGAGAAATTTAAAGAGCTTAAGTCTGATTTGAAATTTGATTGAACAAATTGAGAAGCAGCTGGAAACTATTCTTAAATTGTATTTTTGAGAATAGCTCTTCTTTGCGATTCTCAAACAGTACCAAAAGAAAATATATATACTTATATATAATTTATAATCTTGATTTGACAGAGAATGTATGAATGTATGAATGTGTGAATGTATGAATGTATGAATGTATGAATGTATGAATGTATGAATGTATGAATGTATGAATGTATGAATGTATGAATGTATGAATGTATGAATGTATGAATGTATGAATGTATGAATGTATGAATGTATGAATGTATGAATGTATGAATGTATGAATGTATGAATGTATGAATGTATGAATGTATGAATGTATGAATGTATGAATGTATGAATGTATGAATGTATGAATGTATGAATGTATGAATGTATGAATGTATGCATGCATATCTAAATAGTATATCTAGTGTAATCGTATATGAAGTTTTTTCGACGTCTTTCTTCTCACTCGGCTCTCAGGGGCTCAATTGTCACATATGTTGTTTTTTGCTTTTTCTTATAGCTTGACATTTACCTCAATCCGACCACCCAAAGTGAGCACAGAGATGAAGAAAGAGGGAGGGAGAAAGAGAGAGAGAGAGAGAGAGTTGTAGAGCTTGAAAAGATTCATTCATTCTCTGACCTTTGGCCGTATCTCTGTTGCTCTCCCTCTCACACTGGCTTAACTATTGGCACTCTTGGTTGCATTTTTATGCCATGTTAAAGCCACTTTATGCGCTTTTTATGAGCCCGCAGCCATAAAAAAGCGTCTTACACACATACGCTCAGATGGGACAACATATTTTAATACATGGGCACACAAGCATACATATATTTAGTACATAAATATATATACATATATATATATTTATTTTTATATTTATTGATTTTGTATTAAAAATGTAAGTGCTGGCTTTCAGTTTATTTTTCCTTTCTGCTTTTCTCTTTTTTTGGGCAGTTTCAACATTTTTTTATGATATTGAAATAAAGCGTTGCACACACATTCAATAAATATAAATAAATAACGAGCTGCGAGCGACCAAGTTAAACAACAACAACAACAACAACCATATTGAAAATAATTTTAGTAAAAATATTTGTATTTTGTGTATTCGATCTGTTGTTAAATTCTTGATTTTTCTCTCTTTTTTATTATTTTCTGGCCAAACGGATTTCAAGTGAAAAGTGCCAAAGGGCTGGCGAAATACAAACAGGCGACGATTCCGACTCGATTATTTACAATTTGATTTTATTTATACACACACACGCACACACACATACTCTTATACACACCTACCGAGCATGCGGGCATGTATTTTGATTTTTGTCCAAAAGGCATTTTGCTTGGCAGTGAGAAAAATCAATCAAAATCGATTTAAAAGCAAACTTCCGTTGCGGATTTACACAAACGTGTGTATGTCTGTGTGCGTATGAGTGTTAACCAAATGTAACCAATTTATTTGCTTTTATGCGTTTCTGTTTTATTGTCTCACACACACGCACTCGCACACTCACTTTCTGCTTGTACTCCTCTCTATCTCTCTCTCACTCTCTCTGCTCGCCAAGCATGTTTGGTCAAATTTTCAATAAATAAATTGAAACACACACAAATGCAAACACTCACATGCACAGACATGCACACGCACACATAATCAGGCACATTTACAATTTGTTTTACAATGGAGCTGCAGAGCGAGGCCTAGAGAGTGAGAGAGAGCGAGAAGGAGCCGTTAAAGAGGTGAGGACGAGGGGTTTGAGTGTTGAGGCTAGCCTGGAAAATTGGACAAACAATAAAAAAAGAGTGGAAATGGCATAAATGCTTAATTCAGGACATTTGAATATTTCATAAGGACATGACCCACATACAAAACAAAGCACAAGGCACAGACCCAAAAAATATTTGTAAGTATGTGTGCGTGTGCATTGATGTATGCTCGTGTGTGTGTGTGTGTTAGTGTGAATGTAAGTTTTTTGGTCGGAAATCGCATTTTACTGTCGAGCTGCTGTTGTTGGGTAGTTTGCACTGTAATTGAGTGTATGTGCGACTCTGATTAAGAGTGTGTGCGGGCACCTGTGCGTAAGTCTTTCAACAATTTTGAGTACTGTAGGAATTATCCAAATAGTACTTAAAAAATAATTAAATGCCATTTTGAAGTTCTCAAAATCAACTAATAGTGCTATCCACCCCAATATAAATAATGCCCTTTGGTCTTGTGATTTGTTTACCAGACATTTCCTGAAGCCATCGATTTCCTTTGTTGTGCAGTTAACTTGGTGTCTGGCACCACCTGACAACAGCAACAACAGTAGAGAAGGAAAGTCCCAAGAATCGGTCAGTCATATCATTTACAACTGATTGGCATTGACAGATGCCGCTGTCTCTGTCGCTTTCGCTGTCGCTGTGCCGTCAACGTTGGCGTCGACGCACTTCAGTATTGTATGATGATAAATTACTTATGACTTGGGCCCCCAGACATTCGCCGCAGCGGCAAAAGCGCAAGAATCGCAAAGCGGCTACCTGAAAGCATTTAACGATAAACGAAAACAAAGCAAATGCAACAAAAAAAGCTCACACTAAACGAATGGCAATAAGCAGAGCGCGATAGAGTGAGTGACAGAGAGAGCGAGAGAGGCGTTCAGCACGGCGTGTGGGCTAATGCAATGAAGTGCAAAAGTGCAATCGATGGAATGAGAGAGGGAGGGAGAGTAAGAAAAGGCGACATCGCGGCGACGCGCCGCTAGTGGGCGACAGCGCGATATAAGCAAAGGGTGCAATGAACAAAATAACAAAATGAATTAGTAATAATATTTTGTTTGTGCTTTTGCGCTCATTTTAGTCTCGTGCATATTTTGCTAACTTTTTCTTTGCCTTACTTGTGATTATGTACGTGTGTGTGCTTGAGTACTTGGCGACAAACATGCAGAGTTGAAGAAGACGACGACGCCGCCAAATCGATGAGGCGAACGTCGCGACGTTAATGGCGTCGACTGCGACGCATGTCTGCTGCTGCTGCTGTTGCTGGCAGTGTCGTCGACCAGACGGAATGGCTGTATGTTCGACAGCGGACGACGCTGTGACGCCAATAACAACAACAACCACAAACGCAAATGAGGCGAATTTAAGGCAAGCGACTTAGCAGGGTTGTCAAACGATTGCACACACACTTTAAGCAACAGCAAACGTTTCTAGCATGTTTGACAACGCATACGTGCTTGCCATCCACCATGTCGCACGTCAAACTTCTGCGCTGCAGTTCGTGCAGTAGCGTCAAGCATGAACATGTTTGACTATGTTCTATATCGTTCTCTCTCTCTCTCTCTCGCTTTCTTTGGTTGATAGTGTTAGTACGCTTCTAGCTGTGGGATTGTAATGAGCGCTATACCGCAAACGGATCGCTGGCAAGAATTCTTTGATACATATCGCCAGCTGCCAGCACTATGGCGAAGCAGCGATGAGCAGTACAAGAATCAGCGACATAAGAAGGCTGCCTATGAGAGGTTATTGGAGTGCTATAGACAGATCGATCCGAAAGCCAATGTGGATAGCATGCGGCGCAGGATCAATGGGATTCGAACTTGTTTCAGGCGTGAGCTGCGCAAAGTGGAGCACAGCGAGGAGATCTCACAGGACATGAGCAAGGTGTATGTGCCGCACTTGTGGTACTACAATGAACTGTCCTTCCTGCGCGACGATGTGGGCAGAATAGCTGTGACGGAAACATCGGATGGCATTTATGATAAGCCAGATGAGTCCATGAACGAATTTAAAGACGATGATGACATGGATCACTGGTCCGAAACGGAAACTAAAATTGTGAGTGTGTTGCAGGGAATGTTTGAATTATAGAAATCTGATTTTCTCTGCCTAGTTTGAAGGCGTGCGACCGGTGGTCACTAAATCCCCTGTAAGCCCAATCCAAGCGGAGCAACCATCGCCTTTGCTCGAACAGTTGCAGCCGCAGCTGATGCCCACGCTCATCCACAGCTCAAGGGATGAGGCTGTCATCTATGCCGAGGGCTGGGCCACATCCTATCGCAAGTTGGATGAGAAGAACAAGCTGCTGGCCAAGAAGGCTATCGAGGAGATTTTGGTGCTGGGACAGCTGAACAAGCTCGAGTTCAATTCGGTGAAGATGCCAAACTGAAATTGTATTCCAATATCTAATATATATAAATGGTATTGTAATATCATTAATCTATAAATATTTAAATAAATATAATAAATATTGATAAGTAACTCTGCTGTGTAATCTTTGAGTCAAGCAGTTAGTTTTGAAGGTATATCAATCAATCAGTTTGTCGGATCCATCTGTAAATCAGTCAGTCAATCATTCAATCAGATAGCATATCTAACAGGCAGTTAAAGAGACAGTAGATTTACAAGCTAGTCTATCAATTTTTAGAGTTTCAATCATTTGTATATTAAATAATCTAAAGCCAATCAATCAGTCAATCAAGTCAACCGATCAGATGTCAGTTTCATTGTTGTCTTTTCAAAAGTCCTTCAATCAATCAGATCTCAGTTAGTCAATGCGTCAATCAAACAGACATTTATGACATCAACTAGTCAGTTCAATCAATCAATCAATTCAAATTTCAATTAGTTTGCAGTCAGTTCGCATTTCAATCAGATCAAGCAGCTATATATATGCATAACCAGTGGCTTGCTGCACCCTCTCATAATCAACTGTTTATTCTGTGTGATTGACCGATTGATTATTATTTGTTTTTAGATATAATCAGTTGGCGTGGCTCTTCAGCCACTCGAAACTAATTCTTTCATCTCTGTGTCAACTTTTGTACGTATATTGAAATTATATAAAGATAAGTGTTTTCAATTGTTCCCAAGTTTTTTTTGGGGTTGACTAAGACTACAGCTGAAAAGACTTTTAAAGCGAGGGTCGCGTAAACTGTTTGCATTTGCCTCATTGAGTGTGCTTACGATGCTGCTGCTGCTGCTGCCGCTGCACACGCGCCCACTGTCAACATAGCTAAGCACACACACACACACACACGCACACACACACACAGAGTGGGAGAGAGACACTGTGTCAATAAGAAAGGAGTCCGCGAACAACTTAACTTTAGCTTTTGTTGTTATTGTTGTTGTTGTTTGGCAAACACGCAATTTGGCGCTGCACGTGCAACAACAACAACAACGGCAACAACATCAATCAACAAAATTAAAATTAAAATAATAACAAATTTTGTAAGCAGCAACGCACAAATAAAACAATTCAAACTGCGAAAATTTTGTGTTTGGAAATTTTTCCACAATAATTTCCCATTTTCAAATTTCAATTTCATAGATATATAAATATATATAGATATATGGTATATATAGCAGCAAATATTAAGTAAATTATGTGTGTGTGTGTGTGCGTGTGTGTGTTTGCATGTTTGTTTATTCAGCGCAACAATTTGAATTTGTGGATGAGATCTAACGGCGTGTATCGATCTTTAATGATTGTTTTTTTGTTCTCAAATTGTATCGTCGAGCAAATCAAAATCTTTGCGCAATCGTTCCCAAAATAATATACAGCGCACATCCTTTTTGGCCATTGAGTAATAAATCAATATAGAAACCAACTTGGCGCCCACTTTGCTCCCAACTCGCCCAACGAAGGGAGACAGAGACAGAGGTCGGGCGTTTGGGGTTGGGGCTGGGGCTGGGGTTGGGGCTGGGGCTGGGTGCGACAACAACAAATTGGATTTGTTGCGCCTTCCTTTTTTTAGCTCTCTTTTATTTCTATGTAAGTATTTATTTTGAAAGCGTTAAGGAAACCGAGAAGTCGTCGAAGCTATACTTCCTGCACACCCATTTCGCGCTGTTGACAGCGGGCATAGCTGCTGCCTGAGTGAGTACGTAACGGGCACAGGTTTGCTTGCGAGTTTCCTGCTATCTTTTCACAGTTCTCTCTGTCTACTCTTCTGTTTCCCTAGCTTTTCCAGCATATTGCAATTCAGATTAGAGGGTATCTCTTAGTCGTTGTCTGCTTCTGTATTAGTTGTAGCTTCTGTAACTGTTGTTGGCATCGTCGTCGTCGCTCAGCCGCCCCATCCCCCTCAATTTGCACACTTTTGGGCGCCTAATCAAGTAACCCGAACACGTTCTTTGTTAGATTTATATGGAAAATATTTTTATACAAGAAAAACTCGTGGCGCCCCCGCAACCACTCCCTAACCCGAGTCAACCACTCGACGCCCTCTGCGCGGGCAAAAGCTTTTTCTTGCACTTTTGGCCTTTATGTTGGCTAAGTGTGAGTATCCTTCGTATCCTTGGTATCCTTGGCGCCGCCTCAAAGTGATATTTTACATATTTTCCTTTTTATTATTTTGGTTTTTTCTCTTTTCATTTCGCACACTTTTTTCTGCTTTTTTCTTCGACATTTTTTTGGTTGCTTGAATTTTATTACTTTACGCTTAAGTGTGTTTTTTCTTTTTAGCTAAGCCATAGATATGGCAGCAGCAGAGAGAGAGAGAGAGAGGGAGAGGGAGAGGGAGAGAGAGGCAGACAAAGTTTTCTTGCCTTCTCTTTTGTCTGCGACTTTCAAATGCAGTTTTCTGTTTTCTTTTTTTTGGTGCCTTAAATGGAAAAGTTTGAGACTATTTCTCGCGTCTCCTGGACTTAAATATCGATTGTGGAAATTATAAAGACTTTTTTATTCAACAAATAAGGCGAGCAATAAGACAGAGTTAATGAGTTGAGGCGCATGAGAGATGAAACTGCATGAGATTTGAACTTATCACAAGTTAAGCAAAGTTTTACCAGCTGCCGCCGTTGCCACCGCCCTGGGAGGACCAACCATCGCTAGCAGGAGCTGCTGGGGACCAGCCGCCGCTTGCAGGACCACCGGAAGACCAGCCACCGCCGCCGCCGCCGCCGCCTGATAAGCCACCCGAGGACCAGCCGCCGCTCGAAGCACCAGCCGAAGACCAGCCACCACCGCCTCCCGCTGAACCACCTGCAGACCAGCCTGCGGCATCACCAGCTCCAGAGCTGCTTTCCGAGATGATTTTGATGATTTTCACAGCTGTGTTGGAATCGCTGCCACCGGATGACCAGCCAGAGGAGCCACCACCGCCGCCGCCTGCAGCCCAGCCACCACTAGAGCCACCACCTGCAGCCCAGCCACCACTAGAGGCACCTCCGTAGCCACCATCTGAGGGTTGCTGCGAAATGATTTTGATAATCTTCACTTCCTGTCCACCTTGAGAGCCGCCACCATAGCCGCCACCGCCATAGCCGCCGCCACCTCCATAGCCACCATCACCATAGCCGCCACCACCGCCGCCTGCTGACCAGCCACCGCCGCCGCCGCCACCGCCTCCTGCCGCCCAGCCACCAGCACCACCGCCTGCACCACCAGCCGTTTCGTGTATCACTTTGATAACTTTAACTTCGGGTGCAGCACCAGAGTCACCATGTCCATGTCCACCACCACCGCCTCCGCCACCGCCTGCACCACCGCCAATGTAGCCCGCATTGACTACGGCGCCAACCGCCAGCAAGCAAAGGAAGATTTTCATGTTGATCGTTGATCTGGCTGAGATGAACTAAAGAGCTGAACTGATGCTATTGCCAGGTGAATCGGCAGCTTTTATAGAGGTGTTCCTCTGGCCTTGGCTAGCTGCAACTCAAACGCCTCCATCCTCCTTTACGAGCGGCTGTTGCTGCTGCCGCCGGAAGCAAACACCAACAACACAGCAACAACAACAACAACAAACACTAGCTCTTGGTGTTTGCTCAAGTGGCCAGCAGGCAAAGGCAAAGCGAAAGCATCGCCCTCGGAGAGAGATGCTCTTGGCCCATCCATAGCGACGCACTCGTAACATCATTCGCAGCTCGTAACTAGAGAGTCAATTGAGCTGCTTCCATTTGCACGAATTGTTACGATTTTGTTCGCATTTGGAAGTGGGCTTTGCATGTGAGTTCGGGTTTGCTTGATTATGTCATACAATTTGCAAGAGAGAAGCTGCTGGCCAAATATGAAAGAGTATGTGAAGTGGCTTTTGTGTGAGATGAAGCTTATTTGGGGCAATACCAATTGCTAGCTGGCTTTGAACCAATACAGCTTGGGCAGCAGAGCCAAGCTGCAAATGTCGGCCAGAATTGTAACAGAATGCTCAAAATGCTTTGAAGGAACTGTCTGCAGAGTGACTCTAATCAGTGCTGGAAGCAAAGCTTCTTTAGCTAGGCGAGAAGCTCAATAGTCAAAGTGTGAGACAAAGACTTACAACTGAATGGTAAGAGACCCTAAACAAACAGATAAGCCTAGTGTAGCAGCAAGTTATATAGTCAAAGAGGTAAGTTAGTAAGAGCTTGATATACGAATATAAAGCAGAATGTAGCAAGATAAGCTGCTGCTTGAAAGATACCCTAATATATGTGTGGAGCTCAAATCGATTGCCTGACCTAAGCCTTGATTAAAAAAAAATTATTCCAATACAATTTTAATTTTTATGTTATCCCCCATTGATTGAGAGCCATGCTAAAAAGGTATTCTTTAAATATAAAATATGATTCGATACTTATCGATCGATATCTATGCAGCCCTCATAATCGATTAATCAAGCTTAAGTCAGCTGTAAATTATGTCAGGAATGTTTTCTTCATTTATAACTCTGCTCCCATTAAATGTCAGCCAAATCAACCAAAATGGGTTGCTGCTCCACTTGGCGAGTGTATTCACAAATTCGTTGTACTCTGTTTGCTTTGTTTAACTTTCTTGTGGGTAGCTGACGCTTATGCAATAAGCAAAAACAATCACTTTTTGGCGCATGGACAGCTCTTGAATGAGCTCGATTGGAGCTGCAGTTGCTGCGATCAATGAGGGCAGATGATTAATGAGTGTTTGCTTAGTCGAAGTGGAGGAAAGGGCGAGTGGAAGAGCAGTTGCGAGTGACCCTGACATGGTTAATGATGGCAGTCGAAGCAGCCAGCTACTGCCGTGAGTTACGCTGCATGCGTTGTCCTTGCGTATTGCGCATACGCAGCGTGCAACAGCATGCGAAATGCGATCGATCATGAGAAGCAAGAGGCAAGAAAGTTCTCAATTAGCGCATTAGGATCAACAATTAATCAATTTGTGTTGCCAATAAATATGACAACGACTAAAAACAACAAGAGTCGAGCTCTTTGATAAATGGTTTATTTTCGTTTTATGTTTTTGGATTTTCATTCAAGCAAATAAATTCAATTAAATAATATGTTGCAAGACACGCATAACAAATGAAACGTGGGAATTTTTGTGTGCACAACAAATACACGCATATGTGTGTGCATGCCACACCCCTCAGCCTGGCTTGCCGTCTCCTTTTTTCTGTAGCAGCTCACAAATTGGGAATGTGTAAAATTTTAAAAAAATCGAAGCAGCGACGCGTGCAACATATTTTCCTTGTCAGATTTTGACTGCCTTTTTCTATATACATATATATATATATATCTATATCTATATATATCTATATTTTTTGTGCTTTATGCAACATGTTGCATGGCCAAAAAAAGCTGCCGCCTGTCTGTTTGTCTGCTGGCTGTTTATTAAATTTTGCCACGCTGACATTTGTGACGACGTTCAAATATTTTGTGTTTGAGCAAAATAAAGTTGCAATTGCCACAAAATGTTGCTGGGCTCGGCGCAACCTGTGGCAAGCCAGCTTCCAGCGGCTCCCAGCTTCCACATGACTGAAGGCTTTTATGACAGCCAGCCAACTCTGTCCAATTCTCTAGCTGGGCTCCTACTTTGTGGTTAGTTTTATAGCCAAACACAATTTCGACAGTCGTTCGCGCAGCTCATTTGCGGCCGATTTCGTAGCGATTGTTGTAAGGTGGCAAGTGTTGCTGTTAGTGTAATACCCTGTGCTGTAAAAGCCGGCAAGGTCTATTGCGTCTATACCTAGATGCCTTTAAGCAAGCCCTAATCATTTTTGCTGTCTCTTTAATGAGTTTTTTATTATGCCAGAGTATCTTATAGTTACTACAGAGTATCTCATAGTCTACCATAATAGCCGTTTCAAGCACTCTCAGTTTTCTATTTTCCAGGGCATCTCCTAGTCGAGTTGCCAACACTTATTAGCTCATATAGCCATAACCATAACTCTGCACCTTTGGCTCACATGTGAGGCAGCTTTTCAAAACGTTTCATTTGGCCGTCCATCTGTCTCTCTGCTCGTTTTTGCTATGTGCGATTTCTGGGCGCTGGGATCGTGACACGTAGCTGTTGCAACAATTTGTGGCAAACGATTCACTTGTCGCGATAACTGAGCCCTAAGAGCTTTACCTATGTCATGAATGCGATCTAAACTATAGTTTATATAGGGTTCAAGCTGGAAACAATTGGCATTTAAATACAACACACTGTAGCTGACCTGCTAAGCCCGACTAAAACAAGCTTATCTCAGACTGAGACTGAACTTCGCCAAGAGTGCGCCACTCAATTGTACCCTGTAACAAGCTCTACACTATCTATTTTGCATCAATATGTTATAAGATCTTAAATATCTTAATAAACTTGAAATAGAGCTGGGTTTTTTAATTTATAGGGTATGTAAGAACTAAATATGGAAATAGAGAAACTTTTTAAATAAATTTAAAATTAATACACAAAACTTTTGCCAGCTTTCAATTAATTCTAAAAAATTAATTTTAATTTAAATTAATTTAATTAATTTTAAAAAATTAAACAAAACATATTTTAGAATATTTGTGGATTTCTTAAAGCCATTGTATATTTAATATTATGCTTTTTTTATTACAGGGTATTTTGGTATCTTTCCTTTATTTATTTATATTACTCAAAATTTCTTCCCTCTAAAATATTATTTAAAATATAAAATTTCTGTATTTATTTAAAAAATTCGAGTACGTAAAACAATTGCACATTTCGAACAGCCACAGTCTTTGATACCCTAGAATCGTAGCAATTACAGGGTACTCGAACAGTAAATACTGTTAACACATGTAAGTCAAGCGGCAAACGCGCAACTCATTACTCAGTTGTCTGCGTTTGCCATTCGATTAGCATAGAAATCGTATGGCTTTATACAGATATATATATATATATATATATATATTTATAATACATATATATATATATATATATTTGTATAAACGTAATTGTTGTTGTTGTGATTGTTGCTGTGCATAGCTTGTTCATGCATTTGGCTGTTTGACCGCTTGGCGTGGCCGTTGCCAAGTTGATCGGCAAAATGCGTTCGGCCAAATGGCCAAATGCAACGTGCAACATGCAACATGTTGCACAAATGTTTAAACCGGCTGCCCAATTGCCTCGCCGATCCTAAATTTGCATGTCATGTGAAAAATTATTCGCTTATTGTTGAGCATTTGCCTGGCTTTGTAATTGTCAAACACAATGCGATTAACCCATTCAGATTTGGTTGGTTTTCAGTAACGGGCGATGGCAAGGCTTCTTGCTAAGCAGATCGAATAGAACAAACAGAATTTGATTAAAGACACTATATATTAGCTAGTGTGGAGGCTAAGCCGAGCGCGGCCTTCAGCCAGCGTAGGCTTGGAAGCTGATGGGTTAAGAATAATATTGATACTATATATTTATTCAAAGATAGCTCCAACTGGTATGCAGAAGACATACACAAGTAAGTTATGTGTAAATGGGGCCTCACTATGCGATTCTCATATATTTAAGCTTAATTAAAATTACTCAAAATATATTTATCTCTGTTGCTCTGCATATCTCTCTATCTTTATTTAGTTCTCAGCATCGCACTGCCTTCTAATTTACCTTTCTCTCTGCCTCTCTATCTCTACTTTCCTTTCTTTAGCTGTCTATCCCTCTCTCTCTCTCTCTCTCTATACCTGTATCTCTCTCCCGCTCTGTCTCATTATAAGCAGCTTTATCCCATCAGCTGCCTGTCTCAACTTCTCGCTCTTTCTTCATATTTCTCTATCTCTGAATTTGATACATCTCATTAGATCAAGTTTGTTTCTTTAGTAACATTTGGTAGTAGCATATTTAACTATGTCATATTACCTATCTCTTAGCCTTAGTTATTATTGGCACATGCTACACATTCTCTTTGGCCAGCAGCATTTCAAGTTTTTGCTCCCTCTCTTGGTTTTATGGACTGTTCGTCTAATTGCCTTGGGTTAATTTCCAGCTGTAACCCATTCGAGCAGTAGATTATGGTTGTAATTGCAATTGTGAATTGTCACATGTTTATCTGTCTTTCTGTCTAACTGGCTGGTCGGCTGTCTGCATTCCTCGGCTGAGTCGATTGTCGATAGGCGATTGGCGTTTTGATTCGCGTGCCCCGTGCTCGTAACTCGCCGGCTTATTAAATGTTGAAGGCGCACATGCGGCGTATGCGCAATATGTGAATTGTTATACCTGACTGCGGCCACTGGTCGCATTCTTTGGGCCATGTCACATTCGCTTTTCGTCTCAATCGTGCAGACAAATTGCCAGCAGTTGGAATTTGACTTTTTGATTGACAACTGCAACAACTCTCCTATCAAACTTCTGTGTCACAGACTTTAAAGTTCAGCGCTG